GAAACGTTCGCGGTGACGACAGGCTGTATGTCGGAATAGAGAATAGTGGTTACAATTTTGTAAAAGGTCTGTACAAGAATCGTATAGGATTCGATAAGGAGGTCGAGATAAGCATAGACGGGATGCGAGGTACTGTATTTCTATCGGAAGATTGTGTGAGTGACGGTGGTACATTGCCTTCACCTGTGAGAGGTTTACCGGTTAGGAACAACAAAGTATACTGGTTTGTATATATTCGTTATGCAACCTCCTTAAAACAAACTATAATCTGCACTGAGATTCTGTAACTCTTAACAAGTCAATCGTTATATTATCATTGTGCAATTTTTTTTATGATATAATATCTGCACAATGATAACTTAATGATACCAACATCCTTGATTATCGTTAAGAGTTGCAAAATCCCAACGTTGATTATCTAATATTATTCGTTGACAATAAAAGATAGAAGAAAATCTAGAATGTATCTTTCTCTCGGCTTGCAGTATCAAGTTTAAGGATCCCAAGTACAATAACAGCTACATTTTTCTCGCTCGCAAACTAAAGGGAGCTAAAGAACCGCCGCGCGTCCTGAAGCCGCAAGATTTCGACGCTTTGAATCACAAAAACGGGACTCAGTGGGTACCACAAATCGGTTTCACTCGATCTACACAGTCAGCTTCGTTAGAACAGGCAGGACGTAGAATGCTTGAGTAAGTTAATTGTAACTTAATTGTTATGATCAGCCGTTTACTGTGTAATTTTATCGATAAATATGTCTCTTGCTGTTATTCAGAATTTGTGTCCCTTTTTTTTGTTTCGAACACCGAAGGTTACAAAAAAATATTTACAATAAAAATATTTGCTGTTAATAGATTCGCAATTGTACAAATTACAAATGAAAGTATCTAATAATGACACAATTTAAGAACATTTTAAATTAGATATTTAATTTAAATCTCAGATAAATTTACGACTTTTGTCGTAGCATTTTATTATTTTCGTATGAAATAATATTTAATATATATATATATATACTCTAGGAGTCCTTGTTCAAAGTGAAATAATATATATGAAATAATATATATGTGAAATAATATATATGAAAAGCTTTAACGTAGAA